GGAAAATAGAACCTCAAAAAGATAGCAAAAGAAGAATTTGCTTCGTCACCACATCATCCAATTAATATAAGAAAAAGGATTCAAGAATCCGAGTATCGTTTACGGTTTGCCAAGTGTGTCAAGGTTTGTTATTATTGATTATTTGGAATTATTTCAACATTATTCACTCAAATACAATTTGCTAGGCCAGTTTAAAACCAAATAATGAGTTTAATAAATTCATTGAAGCAGTCATAAGATCTGATTTGGAACAGTTGCCTAAAAATGAACCGCTCCGAAGTTGGCACATCAATACCGATGCTATCCCTCCGATTGTGTTTAATCAATTTCTATCTGAATTTAAACAACTTTGTATAATTGATAATAAATATAGATTTATTCTTCCTGATGATATTAAAATTTGGGTTAAAAATAGTTGGGAGTTGCTCACGGATGATTTAACATTACCGAATTTAAACAAACCAAAATATAATAGGGAAGACGAAATATTCTTTCTACAAATGTTAAACACTACATGAGTGTTTTATTTTGGGCTTTTTTATTAAACGCAATTCTATCAAAAATTTATTTTAGTCGAAATATATTCTTAAAGTATAAAGATATCTCCATAAAGGAAATTTCCAAGAAAACTTGGTTGACAGATACAGTTCATCAATTTTTAGAAGCAGCTGTATGTGATATTCCTGGGCTGTCTGTTCACTCGTAAGCAAGAAAAATTATTTTAGCATATAATAAAAAGTTACCATCTAATATTTTTATATTTTAGCACATGCGCTACTCTTTTGAGACACCTTGGAAATGAAGAAAATCGTAAACCTGACAGAACTGTAAGATTAAAACTTGAAGACAACCAGTTCGAAATTCTCTATGTAGAAGGTGCAAACCCAAAATTAAAAGGAAAAAAGTGTCAAGAAGATACAGAAAAACTCCAGCAGCTAATAAAACTAAATCTTGATGAGCTCCTAAGGGATTTTCAACATGCATACGAAAATAAAATAAATAAAGAAATTGCGAAAAAAATTTACAATACTCCTCTTATTACAATTCAATCTACTCATAGATATTATTAATTTTAATATTATTTACTAATTTATAATATGTTTATAATTTTACTCATCAAAATAAATATTTTTAGAAACATCATTAATTTCGACAATTAGTAACCGAAGAGCTCATCCACTGATATATACAACTACTTTCCATAATATCAAAATACCATTCCCAACTAAAGATCATGTTCTACAACTGTCAAGAGGATTGAAATTAATTTCAATGATGTGGGAAATTCGAAATGTGTTAAAAATTATTTCTAATAATTGGAGAAACATTTTAGACAGCATGGAAAAAATAACAATAATACTAGCAGAACAACGAGTAAAAATTGATGAAAATATTCCTCAATTTAGAAACTTCATTCCCGGGCAATATCAACCAATACAATACTCTTATAATTAAATGAACAAAATTTATTTTTTAAATTTATTAAATGTTTTATTAACGTTAATATGTCTCAATAAAAATTGAAAAAATGGCTATTACAGTATTAAGTGTTAATTATATTATACAGTACAATTATATAATTAAAATTGTTGTATTACTATCTTGTTACATAAGATGTGCCAAAATTTATCTCTAACTTTGCCCAAATTTATAAAAATTTATAATCGAATTCTGCCTGAATTAAACCCCAATTCTGCCAAAATTTATACTCCAATTTTGCCCAAACTTAGAATTCTGTCCCAATTCTGCCAAAATTTTATGATCCCCAAAAAATTATATTTGAACTCTTAGATTAAACCATAATTCTGCCTAAATTTATATTTTAATTCTGCCAAAATTTTATACTTTAATTTTGCCTAAATCTATATTTGAATTCTACCCAGATTAAACCCTAATTCTGCCAAAATTTATACTTTTAGTTTTGCCCAAATTTATATTCGAATTTTGCCCAAATTTATATTCGAATTCTGCTAAAATTTATACTCTAATTTTACCAAAATCTATATTTGAATTCTGCCCAAATTCTGCCCAAATTTATACTTTAATTCTGCCCAAATTAAGCCCTAATTCTGCCAAAATTTATACTTTAATTCTGCCCAAATTAAGCCCTAATTCTGCCAAAATTTATACTCTAATTTCGCCCAAATTTATATTCGAGTTCTGCCCAAATTAAATTCTAATTCTGCCAAAATTTATACTCTAATTTTACCCAAAATTTATACTTTAATTCTGCCCGAATCAATATTTAAATTTACCCAAATTTATTTTCTAAATTTGCCAAATTTATATTCTAATTCTGCCCAAATTTATATTAGAATTATAAATTTTGGCTGAATTAGGGTTTAATTTGAGCAGAATTCGAATGTAAAATAAGAGGCGGAATTGGGGTTTAATTTAGGCGAAATTCGAATATAAAATTATAGTTTAATTTGGGCAGAATTTAAATATAAATTTGGGCAGAATTAGAATATAAATTTTGACAGAATTTGAGCAGAATTCGAATATAAATTTGGGTAAAATTAGAGTATAAATTTTGGCAGAATTAGGATTTAATTTGGGCAGAATTCAAATATAAATTTAGACGAAATTAGAGTATAAATTTTGGCAGACTTAATTTGGGCAGAATTAGAATATAAATTTGGGCAAAATTAAAGTAAGAATTAAAATTTAATTTGGGCAGAATTTGAATATAAATTTGGGCAAAATTAAAATATAAATTTTGGCAAAATTAGGGTTTAATTTGAGCAGAATTAAGATTTAATTTGGGCATAATTTGGATATAAATTTGGGCAAAATTAAAGTATAAATTTTGGTAGAATTAGTTAAATTTGGGCAGAATTTGAATATAAATTTGGGTAAAATTAGAGTATAAATTTGGCAGAATTAGGGCTTAATTTAGACAGAATTAAAGTATAAATTTTGGCAGAATTTGGGCAGAATTCGAATAAAAATTTGGGTAAAATTAGAGTTTAAATTTTGGTAGAATTAGGATTTAATTTGGGCAGAATTTGAATATAAATTTGGGCGAAATTAGAGTATAAATTTTGGCATAAATTTGGCAGAATTAGAGTATATAAATTGGCAGAATTAGGGTTTAATTTGGGCAGAATTAGAGTTGTAAAATTACCGTAATTTTGTGTAATTTTGTTTCAAAAACTCAATTTACAAGAAACTTGATTAATTTAGATATTGGAGAAGATAAATTTCTCCTTCTG